GTTCTGCTTCACCACTATGTCCTGGGCCACCTCAGACCAATGTCTGCCCTTGTTTTTGTTATAAAATCAGTGGCGGGAAGGGGAAGAATAGATGAATCCATTTGATTTGGTCCTGGGGCAACATGTGTGTAAACTCACATTTCCGTGCTTCTCCCTTCTGAGTACCATCAAATACTCTGGCAGTAATTCAAAGCGCATCATAAAAACACTCTGAAGGTTGGGAATATGACAGGCTAGCTAAGGGTTTCAGGCCTTGACAGCATTGTAAATTCAGGGGATTTTCATCGGTCCCTGGCTGGACACCAGAGAAGACGGCAACCCTGAACTACCCACAGAAATGGAAAGAATTTCCTATCTTGTAAAAGTGTCTTTCAGGAATGAAGGGGAAATTAAGGCATTCTTAGACACTGGGGAACCAGGAGAATGTGTCCCTAACAGACTTTTCCTAAAGGGGTGCCTAAGGAAGTTGCCCACACTGAGCGGAAGTAACAGCCGAAGATGGTGGGGAACTGCAGACGGGAAAGGGGCACAACGGAATTGGGGAAATGTGAGTGAAATAGAACAGGCTCTGTAGAGACCACAGGTACGTAGAGCAGACCCTCCTTTCCTCATGGCTCCTGGAGTCATATCGGATGGTTGAAGCCAAAATGGCAATAACATCTGTTGTAGTCCTCACTGTATGTGAAGGAAATAATAAGACAACTCTCTATATTTTTTCAAACGTGAGGGTAAGGGGGCCTAAATGGAATTATGATTTCAGTGCTCCACTTGGGGTGGCAATAACAAGTGTCAGGCGTGTGGTATAAAACTTAGAGTAACCTATGAGAACACTAGATGCTCAAAAACAGGATAAAAGAAAATGACTTCTTTCCAAAAATCTCCAATAACTCGGAGGCAGGCCAGAAAAGGAGAATGTAGAAATGAGAACCGGAGAAAATGACAGCTCTTGGTTTCCCCACCTCATGGGCATCTCCAGCGCTGCTGCTTGGACGTGCCTGCCACAGGCTGGCGGCTGTTGGGAACGTGAGGATTCTCTCTTCTCCCGGGAATTCAGCGTTGACGTGTTGGCATCAAGATCACAGGAACGGAGGGCCCGGTGGCCAGTGGCATCCCGGTCAGCCTCGTAAGCTGCAGTCTCTGTGGGTCAGCCAGGGCAATGGTGTCTACACTGCACCAAGTGTATCAAGACGTTGGATCTTGTTCCAGCTGTTGCTCCTGGCCCTAGTTCTCCACCTCTTCTGGCGATTTTGTGAGTTCCTATCCATTTGGGCTTCAGCTGGACCCAGTTGCTTTTGTTACTTTATGTGGGCACAGATACTCCAAACTCGAAGGAAATAAATACCCGTGGAAAAAGGAAGGCTCATGAGCCACTGACTTGTACAGCTGTAGGAGAGGAAATAGGTACCCACATCAGTAGCCCGGTGCCTGAGTAACCCAGAACCACAAGCAGGTGTCTTTAAAGAGCAGCCACGTATCTGCTCACGGTTCAGGGGGATAGAGCCTGCGTGGAGAAAGTGGCTCTAGGGCAGCGGTTCTCAAGCTGTGGGTCACGACCCTTTGGGGGGGTGTTGAACAACCCTTTCACAGGGGTCGCCCAATTCATAACAGTAGCAAAATTACAGTTATGAAGTAGCAATGAAAATAATTTTATGGTTGGGGCATCGCCACCACACGAGGAACTGTATTAAAGGGCCACGGCTTTAGGAAGGCTGAGGACCACTGGCTCCATGGGGAGTACCTCCCTGGTCCATCTCAGCTTCCAGTCGCTGCCAGAAGTGTTCATGCATGCATCTGTTTCCCTCCTTGGCCACCAACTTGTGCGTGTGTCTGTAGCTCAGCAGTGATGGGACTTGGCACACATCCTACCACACTGTGAGATAAGAGCACGGAAAACTGTCTCTAAATAGAGCATATTTACAGGTATAGAAGCCAGGATTTCAGTATACTGGTACATACATGTACATGTCTATATACACATATAAATGAGTGTGTGTGTATATATACACATATTTGCATATGTTCAGAAGGTACACGATTCGATCTAAGACAGTACTTTTGGGTAGGGTATGGAATTATAAAAACCTACACATGCTCTGCGTACTCTGGGGCTGTGTACAGACCTCCTCTATTGTGTTGTATGTCTTCTTTTAGAACTCTAGCACTGAAGGCGCTTGGCCATGGCCTTGTAAGCAGGCGATCTCTTTAGGGTTTCCTGGTGGGCGCATGTGTGGTATGGCCAGCGTGGCTCAGTGGTTGAGGCTGGAGACCCAGGCAGATTCGGGCATTGGCCAGTACACCTTGCCTCCCGTTACCACCTGTCTGTCAGGGATGACTTGTCAGCTGCTGTGGGTAGGAGCCCTGGTGGCATCGTGGTTAAGAGTTGGGCTGTGATATGAGAAGTCTGAGTTCAAAACCAGCAGGTGTCAAGAGTTACACTCTTGGAAGCTTATAGGGTTAGATCTACCTTGTCCCGTAGGATTGCAGCATCAGAACTAACTCCAGGCAGTAAGGTTTGGTTGTTTTTGTTTTTAACGATGCCGAGTCTATTTCAGAGGAGTATCCAGGGTACGACAGGCTGGGAAGGAAGACCTGGTGATCCACATCTGGAAATCAGCCAACAAAAAGTACAAAACCAGTCATCTCAGAAGCAGGAAAGGGGATCTTGCTACCAACCAAAGAGGCGGAGCCAGGAGTGGGGCTCATCCTTAAGTTCCTAGGATCCTGCATGTGGAACGGTTCTTCATCCAGGAGACCGCAGGGAGACCCAAGGATCGGGAACAGAACCAGCACCAGGAGCCAGAGCAGAAGACACAGCGCTGACCTTCTCCATCCACAGTGGGCCTTCAGGCCAGAGCCTGGCTTGTGCAGTGGGCTGCCACTGGGCACTTTAATGGGGAGAGCTGTGTGCGGGAAATCACGTAGCTGGACCAGAATACCTTCGGGCTGAGGCTTAGGATGGAGCAACTTGCCCCTTGGGCATTTATTGGCAGTCCTGAAAAAGGTTTGTAGCATTTCCTGAGCAGGGCAGAGGCCAGGCCAAGAGATTGAGGACCGGAGAGAAGCCGGTCCTAGTGGCAGGCATGGCAGAGAAGAACCGGTCCCAGGGGAACCTACTGCATCCTGGTGTTTTGGACCTGAATGATAACCTTTCAGCTTCCCTAATAAACCCCACGGTTGTAAGCTACACTACCTGTGGAACAAGCCAACCCATGGATCATGTCCCTAGAGCTTGAGGCTCCTTCGAGACCTGCTTCACCATGCTGTTGGTGTGTAATGACTTGAGCCTGAGGCTGGTGGATCCTGTTGTCTTACATTGCTTGAGATCAATAGCCCATCCAGACCTGCTTCTCTAAGCTCCTGAGCTGCTGACTCTTGGTGACTAGCCCTGGTGTTTGCTGCCTGTGGGCCAACTCTGCCTGCATTGCCCAAGGGAAGACTCAGCTGTATGCTTTCTTGACCTTGGACCTGGCAGTCCTCTTGAGTTAAAGGACTTCTAGTATATTAAGTGTTCCACAGAAGTGAGTTGAGCTGAGCCCTCTGTCTTGCTGTGTGGACTAATTAGCTGTTATATTCCTTTGTACTGTATAAATCTCTCTCTCTATCTCATCCATCCATCTACCTATCTAATATCATAAGTGTCCTGGTTTTGTTTCTCTAGAGAGCCCTGCCTAACACTGGACAGTAGGGCTGTCCTCTTGCCATTCAGAGGTCATGGCAGGCTGCTGCTGTTACCACCTCTGCTGTTATTTCTGCCCCACCCCACCCTCACCCTTCATGACTGTGGCAACTCTACCATGCTGTCTCGGCAGTCCGGGTGCTCAGTAAATGGGTCAAGTCACCCTCCCCATTTGTCCAAGTCACCGATTGTGAAACCAGGATTTGGGATTGCTCTCCTGAGAAAGCCGAGTGCAGAAAGCAAACATCATGAGTGGACTTAGCGTTTAGAAAAGGGCTGCTTTTTTTGTTATTTTTTGGCCCTTATCATTTTCAAACCATTCATTTGAATAAATGGTTTGTACAGTAGCCTTTGCCTTTTCTTCCTCCTCAGATAAGAAGGCCATGGTTTGAAAGCTGGCAATAAAAACATGAGTGATCATGCTTGCAGTGCCCAGGAGAGGGCCCTGGCTCTGCCCCTCCCAGGCCTGGTGATGGGCCGGCTGGCCTGCGCCTGTCAGGCTGCTGATAGTGGGTAAAAGGAGCTGGTGGTTTGCCAGCACAGGACTCAGTGGCCAAATGGAGTGTTTAGTACTTGTTACATTTGATTTATATCACAGGCTCTTCCCATTAGCGGTCTACTTGTGATAACTACCGGGCTGTTTATGTGGTGACTTTGAAACAGCCACTTGACAGCGTTTGGGAGTCACTGCGTTTCGTCCTGAGTAGAGGGGGGCTTGAACTGCTGCTTCGAGTGGGGATGTTTGGTCTGAATGAATGAATGAATGCGCGAGTCCTAAGTACACACTTCTGTGGTTCTTTCTGTCAAGGTTAGCTTTAGCAACTAGAGTCTCAGAAGGTTCTGGAAAGGGGTGCTCATGTGTCTGATGTGGGGGCCCTGGGCAATGCAAATGTTTGGTGCACTCAGTTGATAACCAGAAGTTTGGAGGTTCGGGGCACCTCTGAAGAAAGGCCCGGGGATCCGCTTTTCTAAAGAGCTTCCATCGACAACGCTGTGACACAGAGGGTAGCCAGGACGCCATGACCATTGGATTGTGATTGTGTGTATGTGTGTCCCAGTTTTTAGTGTGTCTCCATAGACTGGCATTTACATGGAGGGGGTTCTGCTTCTCTTAACACGGTGTTAATCCAGCATGAATCAAATGGAAGAGAGATGCTCATCAAAAGATTGTCGATTCTAAGTCAAACGGTGACCTTGACATACTGACAAGACCTGAATCTCAGGTCCATTGAACAACTCTCCGTGTACACCCGGCGCACTTCAGGTATGTTGGCCCTGGCTGTGTCGTAAAATATGCATTAAACATGGTGATCTCTGTTTTCAGATTGAAAACTTGCAAGAACAACTTAGGGATAAAGACAAGCAACTGACCAATCTGAAGGACAGAGTGAAGTCCCTGCAGACAGATTCCAGTAATACCGACACTGCACTGGCGACCCTAGAAGAGGCCTTGTCAGAAAAGGTGAGCGTGGACCAAGACAAGGGGATGGAGACAGAAGGGAGCATGGTGTGCAGTGGATGGCCCCAGTGTCTTACACGTGCTTGTTCTCACACCTAACACCCTTTGTGGTCCCAGCAGAACCTGCCCCTCCATCCCCGGCCAACCCTCCTCAGCGCACAGTGCAGCTGTGGGGCCCCTTTCCCCTGGTATTGGGAATTGGGCGAAGGTTTACAGGGCAGATCCATTTTCCACTCAGAAATTCAAAAGCAGGTTGTTACATCTCCTTGTTTGCATTCCCCACAGTGAAACAGCGATTCTCCCACTTCCTCCTTCATTTCCTGTTTCAATTTCCTCTTTCTTTCCTAACCCTTCTGAAACACTGTCCTTGGAAAAATGCTGTACTCTGGGCCTCAAATGTTCGATTCTTCCGAAATGGGAGACACTCCCATGGAGTCAATGCTGCCATACAAGACCGTATCAGGACAGGGTGGAGCAGTGCCTGTGGGTTTCCGAGACTGGAACTCTTTAAGGAAGTAGAAAGCCCCAACTTTGAACTTCAGTGACGGCAGCCCAGCCTGTGCCCCTATGCCAGCAGGGCTCCTGCTGCTGGACATCCCAGTCTTTCGTTCCCTGGAGCAGCATGCCGCCAATCTCTGTCTGCCTTCCCATGGACCCACGGCCCTTCCTGCCTCTGACTCCCTGTGTCTCATGCCCTAAGTCTCAGGAGACTAGCCCCATGGGGTAGAGGCTGCCCTACTTCAGTCTGATCTCACGTTAGAGTGATATGTCTCATGTTAAAGCTATGTATCTCATGTTAGAGTTGTATATCTCATGTTAAAGCTGTGTATCTGCTTTATAATAAGTTCATGTTCACTGGAATAGGGGCTAGGGTCTGAGCATATCCTTGGGGGAAACAAATCAACCCATTAGAGGAGGGGACAGACAGTGAATAAATAAATAAAAAATATAAAATAAGATATCAGAGGATACGAGGAGAGGGCTTCAAAAAAAATTCATGGAAAAAGTGGAATGTAAAGATAGTGAAAATTTTCCCTTGAAATTTTTGAAGCCCCCGGGAACTTTCTGTTGGAGGGAGAAAAGCAAGTCGTCGTACAGTTCTGGGTGGTGAGATGTCAGGCTGAGATAGTCTTAAAGAAGTGGCCAGGTGAAATTAGAGGGGCGCACCATCACCCTGTCCCAGGCAAGTTACGTGTGAATGGCAGGGGTACAGGTGCTGTGCTCAAATTACTGTGCTGGGAAAGATGGCGAGAGTGGATGGGAAGCTACGAGGAACGTTTTGTTCTGACTTGCCTTTGAAGGGAGAGATGATATTGAGTAGAAGAATGGATAATTCCATTGGTCAAGCTGACGTGTACTGCCTTTCACCATGATTTCTAGTTACTGGCCGAATTCACTCGCTCATCATCTGGACACCTGTGGTCGGGTTTGTGACCTCTGAGTGGGTCGAAGGGCTCTGCCCCACAGGCACGGGCCGTGGACTTGAGTTGGCCCGTTCCATCCTTGCCTGCCACACCTCTCAGTTCTCCTAAGCTCCAGAGAGCCAGGGCCCCAGAGCGGTGCAGGTAACGTCTGAACTTTAGGAACAATGGGAGGGAGAGTTTCGGTTTTACTGGATGTAAAACATGTCAGCACAGTTGTTAAGGCCATGTCGTCAATGCAATTATATCCAGATTCTGTTTGAAACAGAGAAAGGGATCTTTGCTTTTAACCAGTGGGAGCCCAGCTTTTCCCACCATGTGGATCCTACAAGCCTTGCTCCCTGGGGTGGCGGCAGGGGGTGGGTGTTTCCTCTCAGATTGTCTGCTGAGCTGACAGCTTCTTCTCTGACACTCCCCGCCACCAAATGAGGGGAAAGGGCTCCTAGCTCCGTCACTGCATCCTGACCCTGGAAACGGACTCTCCCCTGTAGGACCTCTGTTTTCCCATGAGTTCAATTGAGG